CCGCACTCATTGGGCGCTGGTGCAACTGTTACCTGGATAGATTATAACTTCTGGCTTGGCACGTTCCTTAATCTTAGCTCATATACCAGACTTGGTTTACAACCATTGTATTACGAAATGCTGAAACCAGTTTTTATTTATTCCTACCGGTTTCACTATTTGAAACTAGTGATGTTTTACGTGGATTTAGTGTGCTTTTGTCGTGATGAAATGAAAGAAAAAATGTAATCTGCATACTCATTAGACATTACGCACCGCTCCGCTACGCGCAAACATCAATGGTCTCATTTATTTACCATAATGCAATTGAATCATAACCGTATCAGCAAAAATAAATGAATGAAACGATAGTGTGTTTTTGTGCTGCACATAACTGGTCCAGTTAAGCTCATTCGAATTTAGAGGAGTATCCACGTGTTTTGGGAGAGGGTGACATGTTGTGTACTTTTGGATCGTTCAAGTGCTTATGACCACCAATGAGGCTTTAAGCACAAGCATTCCATAGTACATCAGCGATTTTCTAATGAAGCAGATTACAAGTGGCGCATGTACTTGCCGTACCATGCGCGGTAGATTAAAGAACGATATGTAACGATTAGGACACAAATTTGGATATTGTATTCATGATATGCTTAGTTAAATTGATTTTTAGCAAACAATAACAAACCATTATAAAAAATAATGCTTCTACTGTTTACCTATAGGTGACGATTGTTCAGTCCATGTGAGTGAACTTTAGCTGAGGATTTATAACCCGACTTGCAGTTGACTATAAGCACTGTAGTCTATCCAAACAAAGCACACCAAACAGCTAACCAAACTAGTGACGAAAGAATGTTCTCGAATCATGCAGTAAACACAGTTCATCGTTTCACTGGTTGGTAACTGAATTGTTTGCTTTTTCTGATCCAGGACATCACAAACGCACAGAAAATGAAATGGCGAGTTCGATGTGATCTAACATATATCCTTCGTCTGCCCAATTCACTGAAACAACGAGTTGTGAAAGATGCTTACATAGACTACTAAAGCACATTGCGTCCCACTCTAGCCTGTTAAGACCGAATTCCAACCGCTACGCTATGCACAGTAAATTAGGACCCAACACAAAAAAATCAGAACACACAAGACAGCGTGCGGATTGGAATCGGATTAACGATTTAATGAGAGTACATCAATCGATTAAATGATGACCGACAATTCGGTCAAGCTGGAGCATGGACAAAACGGATTAGAGGAGCATTGGTCAATGTCTGTGACAAACAGCTGTGTCACGTGATTGGACGATCGATGGGAACTGATAGACGAATGCGTACGTAGCATGGTCCAATATCCTACCGTACGGTGCGATAGATTTTTTAATCGTCACCGTATTTTCATTCTCTAGATCCTGTCTTCGCGCAGTGAATTCCACCGGTGATTCCATTTGCTACCTCACTGGAATGTTTTCCACGGTTAGAACGGAGCTGGAATCCTTCCGACTGATGCACGGTTGTTCGATCGCTCGTGTGGGACTTGCGATACCCTTGCAATTTGCCTTTGGTCAAAGTGTGTCCATAGTATACCAGGTGTTTGCACTAAGGCTCAAGACGACTAGCAAATTATCGGTTATAATCATTATCATTGTGGTTAGCAGTGCTTGTTCTGGTAATTTTACTCTACCAATAAAAGGGGCGTTTGATGTTGATTACAAATTTGTTTGACAACGAAGATCTTACACTGACTGGGAAGGAGTGTAACAGATGTATTCATGAGAACCAAAATTCTGTAACCAGGATGGGCCGACAACAACTGATCAGTGAATTAAATCTTTTCAGATAGCAATCCAACGAAGGAGCGCTCAAAAATATCGAGTTTGCTTAGTATGCTCAAAGTACTGGAATGTTTAGATCGAAGTCGACAAACAATCTCGTGAATACTTGCTCCAAAATCCATCATATAGCAAATTTTTGCTGCTATTTAACTGTTGTATGGCTTTATTTACTCGCAACACGGAGCAAGTTATCAGTCCTTCAAACGGGAGATAGAGGCGAAAAAATCTATGCACGGTAAACAGCTGAAAGAAAAGTTTCATTTTAAATTGACACGGAACTAATAGTTGCATTTGAGTTCAGTTTGTTCAAGTTGTTTTTCTCACCTCTGAGGCAGGGGCTATAATTAGGCTTCTTTATACACCATGCATAGGTCGACACTTTCCCACGAAGCGCGGAAACGAGTGCGCATATAATCACGCACTAACAGATAATATATCGTTCATCTGTGGTTCCGTATCAAGTCCGTTAAATATAGTGGCGCTCACCTCTCTATTTGAATGACACAAATCTTTTCCACATCAGCTCATCACAGTTTACGTAAAACCACACCGCGTGATATCGAGTGCTGTTGCGTGGGTGTTAGTTTGGTATGTAACACGGAGGTACCAAAGACGGTGTGTGGTTAACAAGGTTCGACTAAATCCGAAACCGAGCTTCCAACCTATCAGCTGACGAGCTTTCCAGTGTGTGCACAGAACAGGCAGACGTGATGATCCACTCCACGCGTTAGCAGATCTAAACAGAGAGGCGGTATAAATCACGCGCTTTCCGCAGCACGTACCATTCAATGATCCCACGGTACAGTAACCAGTGAGGGTGAGTTAAACTGCATTTTTCTATTGGACTCTCTTCTGTTCGTGGTCTTTGCAATTTGCTCAATGGTTTTGGGGGTCCTGGAAATGCTGCCTCTTCTTATGGTTTTCCCTGTTCGCGTGGCTGACTAAATTCGTCGTTTTTTTCATTGAAAAGGAACTACTGTCTAATCGGAAAATATATTCGTTAGAAAAATCATGTGAACAATAGAATCGGTTGGAAGGTGAGATTGGCAAGGTAGATATACCCACAAGAGTGATGATAATTCTTAATAATTAGCACGTTTTAATTAAACAGAAATATTCAGTGTTATTGAAAATTCATCCGGATGGCTTGAAGTTACTTTTGAATTATAAACTTCAACTGAGGTGATTTTTACTAATGTAAGATTTTCAAGTGCCTAGTGATACCCGACGTAGGGAAAAAGAGGGATCTGAAAAGGCCATTTGAAATAAATTTCTTAGCTTTTGCGAACTGTATGCATCTGGGAGGCTAACCAGTGTGAACATAAGAATTCATACTGAAAACATCTGCCTGAAATCGGAAAGTTATCGCATCGGTTGCGATGATTTTTGCAACATAAAATCTCCAATCATCTTAAAGATTGGGTCTGAAACAGTGAATATCACCCAGTATGGAGAGGAATTGTAATATAAATCGCTTACATCAGATGCGATTGCAGATGAGTATATGTTCTACCGAATTCCTTTGTTATCTCTCCTTGGTCCACATCATCAGCCGCACGAACGCTCGGGTGTGTGTGGAACAAATGGCCTTGAAAAAGTTGCTCGAAACAAAATTCGAATGGATGGACAGAACGCATGACGGATTCCTCAGTCGCAAAGATGTGGAAGAAATGGTAGTTTTGCATGGACTACCCAGTCAAACAGTCAAGGTAAGTTGACTTTCTGGCCAGTGGTCCGGTTCTCACAATATACACTTGCCTTACTTGTTCGCTTGCATGAAAACTACCGCTGTCATGTTTGGAAAATGTACGGGGGAACGTCCAACTTGTCCAACGAACCAATCATAAAATATCATACTGTAGATAAAGCAAATAAGATGATTGTATAGAAATAAACCTGTTGAATTAAGTCCTATTCTAAGTTTTATAATGAGCGATTTAAACAAAGCTAATGCTGACCATGCCCCATAGGATTTTTAAGGAGTGTTTTGAACAACTTCGCAAATAGAAAATAATAATAATATTACTGTACAGGATAACTAACGAATTTAGAAATGTCAAGTGTTCCAATGCTTTATCAAGCTGCGATTTGGAGAATTAAACTGTGGGAACACATACAACATGAGATGGAATAGAAATCCCCTACACAGCACACCCTAACTTCATGTCGGTGATTGTTTTCCTTTTTCCTTCCTTTCATTGAATACACAATCATATAAGTTTCACGAAGGGGTAAGCGGCCAATCAAACAGGGCTGCCAAACAACACATAATTGGGAACGCCAAGTGGTGATAGTGGGATTCGAACCCATGTTCTCCGGGGTAATAGTTTGGTTACAGTACCACCGGACCACAACCGTCCATACCTAGTCGGTGGATCGTGTCAGACAATTGTCTGTGTAATGGTGGCGGATATGGATCAGATGAAATTGCCATCAACTAGTGAGTACTCGGCAATGCAAAAGCAGAACTGGGAAAGTTCATGGCAATAGATGGACTGTAAAATACTACGTATATTACTCCATGTGATTGGCTTCAATCACTCAGTGTCTGTGCTGAACGTTTTGTGACAAAAATCATATAATGGTTTTCACGCGACTCGTGCCTGCTTCCATTTCGCCAGTTCCGTTTGGTGCAAACGGTTAAACGATGATACTTATTATGGAGCGGTAGAATTCGTTCGGTGTGCTCATAAAATTTTTTGGTTTGATACCATTCAGTTGGTATCAAAATGGTGAAATTTCNTCTTTTTCTATTTTTGGATTTCAATTTTTCTTTGTCGGGATACGTTCCCATAGCAGCATGTTCAATCCGAAAACTACACTTCCTTCAGTAACCTTAACTAGGCATTTCTTTAGACCAGTTCAATTCGGTTAAAGCACAGGTACAATGTGATTCCAGCTTCCAGTCGGAAATTCACACACGTGAATAACCGTTTTAATTTGTTTTTCTTATCTAGGAATTTTTCGAATTCTGTGATACTAACGGGGATGGCAAGGTGTCCAGAGAAGAATTCAATGAGGCACGCAAGCGACGATTATCACGAAAACTTAGGTAAGATATTTGTTTCATTAAAACAAATCTGGATACTTCATTACCATAAATTGATGGTTCCCTAGTGAATGCCTTAAGAAACCCCAAAATGTTAGAGAAAACGGCTAATCATAAATCCGGTTAACCCGGTATCTTTTATAAGCATCCCATGAACAGTGGAAAACCTGAAAACGATTTCCGGATTCCGTCACAGCTTGCACTTTCGTTCAATCTCATTGTCCTTTCGTGGAAAGGACCAATATTTCCTCTCGACAGACTTCTTAAATAATAACCCAGCTGAAAAGACAACCTGGTCAATGATCGTTTAAAACAACAAACTCGAAGTGTCACCAGTGTCCGGATACAAGAGTTAGAATTACGTAAAAGTTTGTACCGTATGATATCTACTTCAGTGCATGTAAAGCGAGGAGAACAGGGTTTTATGACACTTCTATTCCGGTGTAAAAATTTGTTTGATTGAATTAAAATTTCGGAAGTGTTGTGTGCATGACTCAGCATGTCCTTTGCACTCGGTGCAAAAATATAAAACGATCCTTTTGTTTGAACAACCAGTTCCAAAGCAAGTTTGGTGCGAATAATTGCAAATGCCCTGGACTGTGGCGTACATCTTTACTTTATTAGATTATTACCCGTAAATTTGGCTAGAGTCACTTGATTGTGCTACGAAAATCATATCACATCGGTTATGGTCGAAATGCTTTTTGTGAACAGATTGATTGCTGAGCTGCATTGCATGAACCCACATCGTTGTTGGCAGGTCACAAGTAACTGGAATCTAGAAAAAAAATCGGATGGCCAGTGCTTTCTGGTAATTGGGATTGCTAGAATGCACATATTTTCGCAATTGTGAACGAGATGAAATTGAAGTTTGAATGCAAACATCCAGGTCCGACGTTTTGCATAAAAAGCGAGCTGATTCCCACTTGGCCTTTGCTCTTCTTTTCCATAGCGGAGCAGAAATTGGCCACTTGTTCGCGAAATTTAGTCCGGACAATCAAGGTCGACTGAATTACGATCAATTCAAAAAGTACATCAAGGAACAGAATCGAGGTATGAAAGATGCAGAGATACGGAAAATGTTCAAACTGTACGACAAAGATCGAAACAGTTATTTGGACATAACGGAATTTCGCGAGCTCGTTGAGGAAATGGCCTGACTGAATTGGGTGATCCTTGGTAAAAGAAGTGTCCACAGTATCGAGATTACTAGCCCTATGAGATGATTGGATACGGATCTACATTGGATATCTACAGTAATAAATCCCATTTCATGTACATACGTTTCATATTCATTGTCATTTTAAATATACTCTAATATCTACCAAATCAAATCAAATCAAGTCAAGAAACGTTTTATGTAACCAAAAGGCGAATTTTCAGCAATTTACGAACTTTTACAGTGGGTATATAAAACGAATTTTGATCAACCAAAAAGGACAATATGACAACTTCTATACTGTAGTAAATGCGGAAAACAAAATCAGTGCAAGGGTTTTGCTCTGCAGGTGGATGACAACTGTCTTACTATTAACCAATAACTGTATGGAATTGCACTGTTTCTGTACGTAAAAGTACGCCCAGAAACGAGCTCATATTGATATTCTATCAATAAAGGTATTACAGGCTTCAAGATGCTTGGAAATAATGAAATCAATCAAAACAAGTCTATAAGCTCCACTGTAACGGGATACAAGTTTACGGGATCTAGAAAATAGAGTGAGATCATTTTCTTTCAGACCAGGAATAAATATCGGAGAGCAGTACAGCCAGTGTGGAAGGAAGCAGGCAATCACAAATGTTAAATTTAGATCAGATGGGATGGCGAATTTCCTGAGCCTGTTTGTATAAACAGATGATTGTCGAACTTTTGTAAAACGCTGATGACACGAGCCCACCAGGGCAGGTCATGGATGAGGAAGACACCAAGGTTTTTAAGAGAAACAGATTTGAGGATGCTTGATTACTTAAGATAATTTCATGGAGACTATTTACTAATGAAATATAATGGGACCAGTTTTACGACAAAATGGAGTGCACTTCTGGATGGGTACGGGGCACAGACCAGTCGTGAAGTTGATTAGGGCTGTCCTGGAGAGGTCGAAAACTGTCTGAAATAAGGGATGGGCAACTAATCACAGTAGCATCAGCATACTTTCAAACAAAGTTACTAGGAATGGGAAGGTTTGCTTGTACAATTAAGAGGGGAAAAATAGTATGAAGCAAGGTAAGCAATAGAATGGACAATATGGGCAATGGCATATAGTGTGGACAGATGGGGTTTATAGGCAAACTGAAAAGGATCATGAGAGCTACAGTGGGGCATCATACGGCGCAACAAGAACTTTCAAAAGCTTTCAGCAACACATATGGGCGGGCAGTCGGACAGTACTTTGAAGATCCTTTCTTTGGGATTGGTCTAATCCGGGCTGACCTCCAATAATCGGGGCTCGTTCCGAATGACAAACACGTGCTAAACAATTCAACTGACCGGCGCATGCTTTTATCAAATGAGGTGTTAATCGATCGGGAGCATGAGCTTTGTTGGCCTTCAGTCCCCTGAAGAACATTGTCCGGAGAAACCGGATTTATTTCCTCATGGGTAGGAAAAGCAGGTGGGAGGGATCTAGAGGCAGGTACAGAAGCAAATTGACGGTTGAATACCAAAACGTTGGGACAAAAAAACGCTGCGTGAGCGACAGACTTTCCGCAAGGTAGTCCACATCTCACAACAGCTTTATTACCTAAAACAAGCCCAACGTACATTCCACTCAAGCGTTTTACTTCAGCTCTAATCAGCGCAGACAGTTCTTTTACATTTACGCCTGTCTGTCCTGTAAGCGTACTCTTTAGCACGATGGCGTTGCTGAAGGCGGGAAGAAAACCTATTAGTTCAAATATAAATGGTTTCAACAGGGTAAAATTGGTCATAACAGAAGTTAAGATAATCGGCAATATGTTAGCAAATCAAAGAGGGTAAATTATTGTAGAACACAGAAAAGTTGGTTGAAGAAATTAAGCTCAGGAGACTAGACAAGTTCTCAGGGTAACAATTTCTTTTTCTTAGAGTGTGAGAGGCCGGTCGATTATGAAGACAGTGGTTAGTTTTATAGTAATTATATCTTGGGGTAAAGAAGAGTGGTACAATTGTCGGAAGTGCTCATTGGGGCTCGTTTAAAAATATTTGGATTTGAGTGGCAAGTAGTGTGCTGAGTGCCGAGTGATTGTAACGGTTCATTTCGGTCTGTAACTCGTCGTCCAATGGTAGTGTAAATGAAATGGATCTGCTTGTACCTCATGGTGTGGTTTGTGTTCCACCTATCTGGCTATGAGTCCAGCGTTCCTCACTGGTTTTGTGTGGCAATCGTGCAACGAGTACGCGCGCGCCACGGTACAGGTTCCAGGTAGCCAATTAGGAGACTAATTTGCCGACAAATCAAGTGGCACCAACCTAATTGACTGAATGCAAGAAGGCAAACAAATGAATCATATCGTTGTCGATTGGACATTCAAAAATGGACCAATGATTATTGGATGCTAGTGATAATCATTAGCACAGTTTTCCGAATCCAGTCAACTGTATCCACAGCTAGTCTTGGTTCTACCTGACTTTGCGCTATTGAGTACGTTTTCAGTCCGAATCCAAGTTCGTGCTATTCGAATCCAGGTTCTATTCCGAATACTACGG